AAATTGTTCTTTCTCCAAGTCTATATGAAAATCCCAGGCTGTGAAATGACTCTCCTGTAAAGATATGCAACATCTTATTATACCAATCAATATCTAAAATGATATGATTACCTCAATTTCTCCATATAAGATTATCAGATTTATGATTGCATTCATTTTGATGATACTCAATTCAAAATGCTCATTATGATTGGCATTAAAGGTGAAATGGTTTGTGAAAGATATCAATTAGTAAGAAGTATTGTCATTATTGTTATTAAGTATTGCTACGAACTCTGTAGAAGAAACATTTAGAATATTTAAAGTTATTTTTATTATTCACAAATATATTTTTACTTTTCTCATTTGTATCCTATATTTTCTCTTTGAATCAAGCTGGCAGACTATTGTGAAATCTCACCTGTTGCTAAGTATCGTAGTGTGACTGCAAGTCTTTCTGCTGCACTAATTGATTTTCGCATGTGAGTGTCCAGGATTTCACCCACATTCGTCTCGCAATTCGCCTCCTTCTTCTTCGTCTTATTAAAAGGATAATAGCCAACAGTGCTTTCTTTTTTGTCAAATTCATAACCTTTGTCAGTTTCTTGAGCAATTTTATTCGTGTTTGGAATTTTATTTTACGCGCCAAGAAGTTCAAACAATGTGAAAAAGAGGTCACAAAACTTAATCGAGGCACTAATCCGAAAAAAATCGTGCTGTGTGCGGGCAATCCGTTTTTATGAAAAAGACAAAAATCTTCGTCTTTTGCGACAAATATCTGCTGTGTGCGCTAGGCTTAATAATGGTGAAGTTTTTACACGTTATGAGCCCTATCAAAACGAACCTCTTGCACCCAACACAGCTGCCGCTCTTGACCTAACCGAAGAGCAAAGTGTGGAAATTGGCGATGATGGTTTGTCACCCACTGTGGCGATGATGATGGCGGTGATGATCAAAGCACGCCAGCTGAATCATGGTGCAAATTTAGTCGAGAAAACCTCCAAGGTGCACGAGAATATCGTTGTTGTAAGGAGGTGGCCGAGGCATACGGAAAAGTAGTTTTCGAAGGGTTGCAGGATCAGTGTGTCTGCATTACTAAGCACGAAGATTTTGTTGCATTAGTAAATAAAAGGCTTCAAAAATGATCGGACCCCTCTTAAAAAATAAACAAGGAGGCAGATACAAACAAAAGTCTGGCCAAACAGAAAACGAGTAAGTACCAACATATCCATAATTCGTCCAAAATTTACAACGAAAAACGTACTTGAATTGGCCTAGGCCTTTTATAAACTCTAACAGTTTAGTAATTAATCTTCAGGATTTGACTGTAAACGATACCAAGAACATTGTTGAAATTTTCTGCTTGTTTTTCAAAAGGTTATTAGAGTAGACTGAAAGTTTTCCACTCTGGTGGTAATCATTTGACAACTACTAAAAAGTTAATTTAATTTATTCTAGATAGAAGGGAATACATGATGTAAGTGACTTTTTCTAGAATGCCTACATTGTTTCTCAGTCTTTGATGGCTATAAGAAATTGATTTATTAAAAAAATTTTTATGTCAGGTATCTTTGAGCTGTTGCTTTCAGGTGGCTGGCACATTGGCTTTTTGGCTACTTGGCTTGGGGCAATACTAGGGTCCTGCCAGCATGTATGTACCACTACATACGAAAGAAATACCCTTCAAGGCAACATACTGGCTATGCAACTGCTAATGAAAGAGAATGAATCTAAGAAGTGCAGTTTGCTTGCTATATACTTATTTTACACATATATATCCGCATTATTTTTGAATTTTGGTTTTTCAATATTGTACTTAGTTTATATCA